TTAGACAAATTAATCTCCAGCAATATTTAATAAAACAGTTTGCTCCTTTAGCAGTAAATATGGCTGGAGTCTGTTGTAGTGATTGCTGGCTGCCTCCTCATCGATTTTTATAGCACTTTAATGCAAGGCTTGTTGGCCAAAAAATGTTCAGTACGTGAGGGAGAGAGGTAAGTCAAATCCTCCATCCCAACCTCCCGTGCTGCCACCATCCTTGAGGATTTTGGGGCACTTTTCGCACCCCGGTATCCTGGCTAAATGCCATCCTGGATTTGTCTAATCTGACCTTCCTGAAGTTCCACCTTCCTTCAGCTGGTGAAGGACTTGCTCATTGGCCTGATCAGCTCCGTAGTGGGATTGTTGGCTTAGAACACATCAGCCAGGGGTGTCCTGCATTGACGTGGTGGATGAAGTGGGTCCCCCCCCTATATGAAAGGTTCTTTGAGATCCTCTGGGAAGAAAAGAGTTGTATACGTTCTGGGAGTGATGATTGCGCCTGTGACTGTTTTATAGTCTTGACGACTTCTCGCATTCCTGAGAAACTGTGACATGCCACGCAGCCAGTGTGTGTAACTGCGCGCTTGCCTTTGTAGGAGATCCACAAGAAGGTGATGTCTCTGCAGTTCAGCGAATGCCACACGAAGATCCGGTACGTGGACGCCCATGCCACCCTGAGCGACGGTGTGGTGGTGCAGGTGATGGGAGAGCTTTCCAACAATGGGCAGCCCATGAGGAAGTTCATGCAGACGTTTGTGCTGGCTCCTGAGGTGCGTTGGGCTCTCCGGCGTCAAGGTGCTCCGAGCGCTTTTTTTTAATTTTATTTTAAGCCGTTCTTCTCACGAGTAAAATGACTGCACGCGGTTGCGGATTCGGGAATGTTCTCTGTTAAAACGCCAACAGGGTGTTGTTGTTTCATCTTGACAGCTTGGCTGCAGCTGGTGCCTGATGCTCATGATGTGCATTGCCTTTTTTGTGTTTGCCTCATGTGGTGGTGAATTTTAAGGTTCAACAACAGCGTTGTTCCCTGTTTTTAATCGACTTCTATTTTTGTCTGGGCAGGGTTCTGTGGCCAACAAGTTTTATGTGCACAATGACATTTTCCGTTACGAGGATGAAGTTTTCGCAGATTCTGAGGCTGAACTTGATGAGGGTAAGACCCAATATAAAAGCACTGCCAAGCTGTTTAAGCACTTTGTTACTTGGGGAAGAGAATGGATCAGTTTTTTGGGGTTTCAAGTATTTACTTAAGCATTTAAGTCCTTTGGTTTCAGTTTATATCATTGGTGGGTACAGCGTGTTTATAGCACATGTTGGGCCCCTGAGCAAGGCCCTTAACCCCAACTGCTCCAGGGGTGCTGTATAAATGGCTGACCCTGCGCTCTGACCCCAAGCTTCTCTCCCTGTCTGTGTGTCTCATGGAGAGCAAGTTGGGGTATGCGAAAAGACAAATCTATCCTGTAATGCGCATGTTTTGATTTTTCTAGAATAGTCTATAATTGATGCGTTTAATTTTGCTTTATTTTATCCCACCTTGAAAACTAATCACAATATTGCAATTTAAAAATACTTCTGCTAGTACATTTTGATGTGAAATCCTTACAACCCTGTTAAAGGCAGAGGAACGTTTTATCCCAAAAGAGTTAAAATGTACTCTGCTCCTTTGCTGTTAGTTCAGTATGACTGAAAAGGTATTCGTCAAGACTAATTACTCACTCCCACTTTCAGAGATGGTGTTGAATGTTCGACTGCCTGCATGTTCATTATTTTTGGACATAACTGATGAAACAGCTGTCAAAATACTGTGGTGAAGTGTCGAAGGAGATCATTAGCATGATGGCGAAACTGCATAAAGCACACGAAGCTGTAATTTCTGCACAGATGTTCTCTCATTTCTGCTGCCTTCAGAAACAGTTAAAAGCCATTTTCTCAAACAGCAGAGGAATAGAGAGGGGTATTGGGAAATGTGATGACTGAAGAGAAACTGATCATCTTATTGAGTCTTTGTAAATTCTTGAAGGATTCTGTTTTCACATGTGTCTTGAGTTTGTAGTCTTCAACAATGTTTTCTGCATGATAACTAGAATTTTCCCAGGTTCTGTGACAGTGCTGCCCCATCATAGCTTGGTTCGGTTCTGGAGAGGGGGGGCATCTGTGTGGAATTAACATTGCACTCCACGTGTTCCTGTGGATTTTGGCTTGAATGGTCAGGTTTCTTCCTAACTTCCAGGCATCCTGACGAGGTTTTATTTAGCTATTCTAAGTGGTCCTGTTGACTAGCATCCTGTTCAGAGTGAGATGAGTCAAGTGCCATCAGTCCTGCCTGTGTGCCCGGTAGTTCTGGAAAATCGATATCGCTGCGACCTTCTCCAGGACAGGCTGCTTTCTGGTGACTGGGTGATGGATATTCCTGGATATTTGAACTTTGGAATTATGCAGCCCAACTCAGTAGCTTCTGTGACAATAGGGTGTGTAAAGAAAATATATATACAACCATGCAGGATGCACTTTTAAATTGCTGTGTACTATTGAGCCACTGCTGATTAATATTTCAGGTCTAGGTTGTTGTGGAAAGTGTGTCCATCAGTGAATATTATGTTAGTATATAGGGGTATCTTGTGGTGTATGTTTCCTTGGAACATTGTAGCTTTTGGTCTGTGTGAAAGTCAGCCTGTACCTTTTTACAGAGATGCATTTAATTGGTGTTAAATGGAGACAGGCCATAGTGCAGCACACATTCTCTAGCTGTTTTCTGGAAGCGTTTGGCAGAAAATCCTGCTTTCATTATACAGGCTCCGTTATCGTGAAATTTGCACACAAAAAATGGTTTTGCTTTCCAGCAAAGGCTATATGCAACACTACTCGGTTTTGAGTTGCTTCTGTTTTTGGAAGCTCAGTTTGATTTTGATTTTCAGGTTGCACATGCGTCCTTGTTCTAGTTAGATCTCCTGTGTTTCTATCAAGAGGCATCCCTCTATGTTTTAGAAAGCTGCTTATTCCTGGCAGGCGTTGTGGCAGTCTGGAGCCTGTCCCAGATTGGGTGTATGGGGGGGGCTGTGCACTGGATGGGGTGGCACAGGAGGGTAGGAAGAAATACAGGGAGACCATGTAGCCTCCAGTCCCAGTGCTCCATGGGTTGTGAATTGGCAGCTCTAGCCTTTTTGTAGTGTTGGTCTGAAATATTTTTCCTGCCACGTCTCCATCCTAAGTTTCCCATAATTGGGAGTTAATGGGACTCCCAATTAATGACTGATTAGATGTTAGTTGTTTTGTTTGGTTGTCATTTTTTAAGTTGCATCGAGTTCCTTTTTAGTGCGTGGTCTTTATTACAGCAGATATGTAGATCATATTTATGCGCATGTTTTAAGACGTTAGAATGACACCATTACATCGATGGCAAAATCATTAGTGCAACTGTCCTCACACCTCCGCATGTATGTCAGACAACCTGTTGCTATACCTTCTTTTAATATGGAAGATTCCCCCCCCCCTTAGAGTCTGAGGAAGAGGTCGAAGAGGAGCAGGAGGAGAGACAGCCTTCTCCCGAACCAGTCCAGGACAGTCCCAGCAGCACCACCTACTACGAGCAGCATCCTGTTACGTGAGTTTCTGACGGCTGCGATTTCTGCAGGAAACTTTACCGTATCGTCCGGGGGCACAAACGTGAGCCCCGATGGGCGGCTTCCTCAGGCGAGGAGTTTCTCCTGCCGTTAAATGTTTTAGACTTTCCTTTGCACATTCATTTCTGCTGGGCGCGTAGCCTCACGCAGTTGGTTGGGAGTGGCCGTGTGTGGAGCCCTCTCGCGCGAGAAAGCGGCAGGCCGGCTCCGGAAACGTGCCCCGTCCCGAGGGGAAGGGGTTTGCCCAGAGAGCGGGGTCTCGAGAGCCTGACGCCGTCGTGTTGTGCCGACAGTAACGGGCTGGAGGAACCCCTGGAGGAGCCAGCCCCGGAGCCCGAGCCGGCGCCCGAGCCCGAGCAGAAGAGCGAGGAGCTGAAGCCCGAGGCTGAGGAGAAGGTCCTGGACGAGCTAGAGGAGAAGTCGCCCTCTCCGGCGCCCGTGGAGTCGTCCCCTAACCCGCAGGAGGCGCCCAAGGTTCGTTTCTCACTTGAGCGGCGCTTAGGCTGAGGCAGGATAACCGGGGGGGTGGGGGTTGATGATCTCGTCTGAGAAAACATGTAGTTTAAAGTAGGGAAGTCGGGTGGATTAGGAAAATCCTGCCACTACTTAAAGCGCAGTGCGCCTGTCGCGCCTTCTTGTTATAGTTTCACAAGTATTCCTCAGTTTTCCCTCACAGAAAACCAGTTTCTCTTCACTGTCAAATTAGTCATTCTGTTAACGCTGCGTGTGCAGACAGTTCTCAGGTCATTGGTAAAACAGTGCCGTACTTCTGAAGTATTATTACTGTATACATGACTTTAATGTACATACAGGCTGTACTGATATTAGAGAGGGCAGACGACCATTTGTAACTACATTAATGAAAGTAGGTTGTACAGAGAGGTCTTTGCCTGACTTGGAGACAGGCACTCATTTCTTTGTAATTCCTTGTAATTTAATTGGTGTGATAATGTTTAACAGTGCCCTTACACATCTCTCTTTATGCTTTAAAAAGACTAGGGTAGAATTGTCAAACTACACTTTCACAATTCTAAATACTCTGTGAAGTAAATTAGCCCAGATTAAATCTGCTGTAATTCCAGTCTCCTTGAGGTTTCTGTATCTCTTTATGTCCACTTTAAAACTGTTACCTGTGCTTAAAGGACTTAGACCCCCTAAATTTATGTACAGAATGTAAAAAAAAAAGTATGTACGTGCTGAAGTGACGTAAATTAAAAAGAAACAAAAGTGTTGTACATTTAAGGGGGTTTACTTTCAATATTAGTAGCATAGTTTGTTGCATTTCCTGCAGGCTTTCTCCTGGGCCTCAGTGACCAGTAAAAACCTGCCTCCTAGTGGTACAGTCCCTTCCACTGGAATACCACCCCATGTTGTTAAAGCACCAGCCTCACAGGTAATCAATCTGTGAATGGATTGGCTTTTCCTGTTTTTTTTTTCTGCCTGCTGCAGCCAACACGTAGTGATTTCTGTGGGGGTGGGCTTGGCTCTGTGCTGTGCCTTTCACACGGTGTCGTAATGTGCATCTCAAGAGACCCTCCGAAAGAGCATCTGTGACAAACTCCCCGAAGTTGCGTTTCCACGCTTTTCCTGTCCGCGGGACCTTGCACACAGTTGTCTCTGATGTGGGGGGGGAAATGCTTCACTCGACTGATGAGGGAGCCATCTTGTCAAAGTCCGGGTGCGCCAGTCTTGTAAGGTTTGTCAGTTCTGATGTGAAACGCTAGCCATTCAGGAGGAGTACAGTACGAGAAAGGGGTAACATGGCCAGGTTGTTCATCTTGCTTACCTAATGCTTGCTTTTTGCAGCTAGGCAAACTTGGTTGGGGGTTCTACTTAATGCAGTCTGTGGCTAACGTTTACCACCAGAACCAACTTGATGATAATAATATATACAAGCGCCAGACATGCTGTATAGGCCTCCCGCAGACACAGTGAGCTTTAAAATTGATTGATTTTGTAGCTTTTTACTTTTTAACATTTTTTGACACACAAGTCGCACCATTCTGTTCTCCCTCCTCTCGAATAAGTGTTTGTTGAAGTTGCGGAAGTGTCCTAGCCCTTTTTTTGCGAAACCTAGACGGCTCGGCTCTTTTTGCGGGGGCCGGCGTCTTGAACTGTGCCGTCTTCTCGTGTGCATTTCCAGCCCCGCGTGGAGAGCAAACAGGAGACGCAGGCCCAGCCCCCGCGGGTACGCGATCAGCGCACCAGGGAGAGACCCGGGTTCGTCCCCCGTGGGCCCAGGCCCGGTAAGAACCTTCTCGCCTGTCGTTGTGCGTTCCCTTGAAGTTGTGGAAGCTCTGCCTGCTCATTTTACGTTTCCGGACTTAATTTTTTTTTGTCCGCGTGAAGTAAAATTATAGTTTTGGGGGGCGTCACCGTCCTCTGCCGTCGGGCAAATTTGTCCTAAAGTTGGGGGGTGGGGGAAAGTATTTTCCAAACTGTGGTAGCCTCCTCTTTTGAGACCCGAGTCCTCAAGTGGTTGGTGTTCGGAAACATTTTTGTTCAGCTCGCGGCTGGCTGAATAAAGAAAGGATGCCGGTGACTAACAGCATGTAAAGAGCTTTTAGTGAGCTCATGGATTAACAGTTTAATGGGCTTGGCTCTGCCAAGTCTTCAATGACATCTGAGTTTCCTGACTGTGTTCCACTAACTGCAAACATGGCTGTGTTTTGATGTGGCATCATTCACTCGGTTACGTGGTGTTACTTGAGAGAGGCGACACAGGAAATAGGAATCCGCAGTGCTGTTTGCTTGTGGTGAACGTACGGGCCTTAAAACACATTGGGTAATAAAGTTGTCTGAGTTGAAATCCATGTTGTCCCTTTTCAAGGTGGGGCCATATTTCTGTACATTTTATGACTGCCATGATTTATCTGTCGTTCGTTGTTAGATGGTGTTGCATCATCAGAAACGCAGGCCGGAAAACCTCACTTCAGCTTCATAAACAAAGGTAATTGTAACCTTTGACCTAGCATAGCTTTGTTGTGTTTCAGTCAGTAGAGCACGGTCTGGAAACTCGATTTTTGCAGTTTTGTTAAGCTTGGTAGGTGGGTGGGAGAAGCTTAGTTTTGGCTGAAAAAAATGAAAGAATCTGCTAATTCTTAAATTCCTTTTCCTGTGTTTAGGAAGAGGAGAATCTGAACCCAGTGAAATGGATAACAGAAGGATTGTGAGATATCCAGATAGCCACCAGCTCTTCGTTGGCAATCTCCCCCATGATATAGATGAGAATGAGCTGAAAGACTTCTTCATGAGTAAGGCATACACTTGAACCGTCTATTTTAGTGGCCTTTTATCTTTGGAGAAATGTATATTGAATTCAAATGCTGTTATGTTAATTTAATGTAAAGCAATGCATTATTGTGGTAAAAAATGTTTGTCGTGCAAATTTAGATCCAAGCATTTGTGTTCCAGTTCTGTAACATCAGATACAAATTTGTAGGAAGCTGAAGTGAGTTGCTTCTACTGTAAGTTTAAATTGACGAGACTTACAGAACGGTGAAATTAGAATGGCATTATTTAACTTTAATATGCGGTTGCAGATGTTATTTATAACTGCAGCTACATAATTGTTTTCCAAAATTTATCCACAACTCTTCCAAATGCAACTCTTGTTATACAAAGGCGGTCCGGGACAAGGAGGATGCGTAAGGTACACAAGAGCCTCTTGCATATCAGTGCTAGTTCTGAAGTTGCTGTGTTAATTGCTTTACACAGCCATCTTGTTTTGTCGTGGCTCTGGACCACCTCTGGATAAAATGAGTTTGTTTACAGAGATGGGGAGCTCTCAAACCAGTGTGCAAAATTTGGAAAAGGCCAGGTGTTGCCATGAATTCAGTTCCCCCATTTTACTTCCCCAGTACAGACCTGAAAAGATCTTAAATGAGAACATGGTTGAGCCTCGAAGAAAAGTCATAGAGCTGTTTCTAGGAGTTAAAACAATTTTAACAATGTTTGGCTGTTACCTTTGTTATTTAAGCCCTCCAACCCCTATGCCATTTTTTAATGAATATGCTTGAAAGTGACTTTAATATTATGAAATCTGTGGTTGTAGATCAAATTGTTTTTTGCTTTATGTATGTTACTATGACCTTACTGTTGTATAGCTTTAATGCCAGACCGTTTCCATGTTTCTCTTGTTTCCATAGCATTTGGAAACGTAGTGGAACTGCGCATCAACACCAAGGGAGTCGGGGGGAAGCTTCCCAATTTCGGCTTTGTTGTCTTTGACGACTCTGATCCCGTGCAGAGAATCTTGGGTGCAAAGGTAGGAGGGGCAAGTATTGACAGATTTTCTCTCCCCCTTATTCACACGGGTGAGACTGTAATACACTCCACTCCACTTTTCACCTCCCTTGGGGCATAGCATTAAACGAGGAGAGTCTGAAGGTGACGCAGGTGGAAGCATCTTTAATAATAGTTTTGGATAAAAAGGAGCTTTGCATTGTTGCACATTAAAAGAGACAGAGGCGATTTTAATAACTTTAGGTGTTATCACTCAGCTGTCGGCCATCTGAAATTTTGCCTGTTGTGGCTTTAGTCCAGGGGTGTCCAATGCAGGTCCTGGGGTGCCACAGTTATCGAGAGGGTTTTATCAGTAGCCCTGCGTGGTCACAATGCAAAGATCTGGATAGTACCTCCTAATGAAGTAGCAGAGTTTGCCTGGTTTGCTGGTGAACACGATGGAAAACCAAGGTCCTTTGGCTCTCGCTCACCAGTGTTGGGGCCTCCCCCCCTGCTTCAGTGACTGAAGGAAGGGGCCACAGGTAATGCAAAGGGTTGTGGGAGAATGGAACGAGCTACCCGTTTGTGCTGTTGAAGCTGGTGCCCTGGCTACTTTCAGGGATCTAGTGGATGAGGCCCTTTGACCGGGTGAATGACCACGTATGAAACGGGCTCCATGGGCCCAGAAAGACTGTAAGCGTCTTTCTCAACGGCAGGGGCGTGCAGAGCCCATGGGAGCAAGCTCATCTCGGGCGGGGCTGGGGTTGTCCACAGCTGTTGTAATCCCCTCCCTTCGCTTTGTGTGTCCCACAGCCCATCATGTTCCGCGGAGAGGTGCGGCTGAACGTGGAGGAGAAGAAGACCCGGGCCGCGCGCGAGAGGGAGACGCGCGGCGGGGACGACCGCAGGGACATGCGCCGCAACGACCGAGGCCCCGGGGGACCGCGCGGCATCGTGGGAGGAATGCTGCGGGATAGGGATGGGAGGGGCCCCCCCCCGAGAGGCGGGATGGCCCCCAAGCCAGGCCTGGGCTCCGGCAGGGGGGCCGGCCAGGGCGAGAGCCGCTTCCCTGCGCAGCGCCGCTGAGATCGCCACCTGCAGTTTGGAAGTAGTACCACGTTCTTCATCTTTGCGTTCTCGTTAACGAAATCTACATATATAAATATATATATACTTTTTTTTTTGGCTTTGGAATGTGACAGCCCGTCAACCATTTCTTTGATGTGACAAAAAAAAAACGCATTCGTTTTTTTTTTTTCAACTTTTGAGCTGAACGTCCTTGTCCGGTTTCTCAAGGGTTCACAAACCTAATTTATAATTTAAGAGGAAAAAAAAACAAAAAACAAATCTGCAATGTGAAAAAGAGGGACTGAAAAAAAAAAAGAGACTTAACTTCAATAGTACAGCCCGGCGTCATTTGGAGAAGAGATTAAAAACAAATGCCTCAAGTTTAAAGGGGGGGCTGCTCTCTGAATCTCTCTACTGCACATTTTGTAAAATAGTAATCTGCCCATTACTGTTGGAAACAAGTGGTGCAAATTTGTGCAATTGGAAAGCTTGCCGTTTTTTTTTTCTTTTACGAACACTTTGCTTTAAACGGTGGAAAAAAAAACCATTTTGCATTTATGCACTCATCAATATGCACTAATGGGTACTCTTGTCATTTTACATTGACATCTGTGGGACGAGGCAGGAGAACACCCTACAGTTGTCTCTTCTTTAGCTAGACAAATAACAGGGCAGGACCTGCTCCATGCTCGCTGTGACCAATATACTTTTCACATCTTAACCCTTAATTAACTATGCTTCAGTTACTGCTGGAAAAGAAAAAGAGTCTTTATTTTCATGTGAATTAAATTAATAAAGATCGATCCTGGACTTCAACTGAAAAAAGGATAACCTGAACACTAGGAGAGATTGATGGCTCACTTTTATTTTTAATTTAATTTTTTATTTACATGGTTTCCTATCTGCCCAACTGCAATACAGGGATGGCTGACTCTCACCCCTTCTAAGAAAGACCCGGATCACAAAATAAATGTACAGCAAAATCAGATCTTACTGTATGTTTTTTTTTGTAAAGTTGAAAAAGCATGATGGTGCCTTCTATTACATCATTCCAGTCTCACTTGCGACATTGTGCAGTGTGTTGCACAAACTGTTTTGAACGCCAAACAGCTGCAGTTGTGTAAAATCATTGACGTTTCTCTTAGTAAGTTGCAGTATCCTTGTGAGACAAAGGATTGCTGGTATGCATTGAGTAAAGTGTTGGACATTGTCAATTTATTTTGAGCTAAGGAGAATTGCTTGGATATATGTGCATTGATTTACACATTTGTTTATAGTGTGTTTCTGGTTCAAAGGATAGTAGCATTTGGCTCAAGAAAAGGTGCCTAAAATTAGTTTTTTTATATATATATAGTAAAATGTTATGAGCTTGAAAAATTTCCAATGTACTTTTTTTCAAGTGCTTTATTGCAGCTAGGCAAGGATACTGCATCTTTGATACCAAGGAAAAGTGGCTTTATAAAAGGTTTACTCAAAAGCCTGATTGCATTACGATTGCGAGAGGTCGACCCAGCCTGAATGCAACAGAAGGTTAATGTTTCAAGTCAGCACTTCAGTTACTGATGGTTGGGCAGAGGAAAAGAAAGAGAATTGCACTGTTTGTGAAAAGCCTTGAACTTGGACTGCATGGACCCGAAATAACTCTGTTGCTGCCTCGCCACGCAAGGGAAGGGGCGAGCGAAGTCTAAAGTGACCAGTTCGTAACGCAATCCAAACAACTGCAGAAGGACTGTTGAATCGCGGACTGAGTCTCTCTGTAGCACCGTCTGACCGTGTCTGATTGCAGTGGAAGGTGATTCCAGGAGCACTTCGCCCCAGTTTCAGCAGTGGTTGTTCCTGAATTCTGTAAACCGATTTCAGACTGGACATCAACAGTTTTTAAGTGTTAAAATGCCACTGGCAGTTTTTTTTTTTGTAGTTCTCTGTACAGTTGTACTAAAGGTTGTGGCCTCTGTGCTTATCCCTTCTTGCCCGGCAAACGCACTTTCCTTTTCGGCCCCTGCTCATTTTAATGCTGGTTCTCAAGCGCTCAGAAGCGCTCCTGCCCACTGTCTCAAGACAGACGTCACTTGCAGTGATCGGCGAATGGGAACCGGAGTATCTTAATGCCGCTGTTTGTAGCGGAAGACCTCAACAGGTGGTGGCTCGCAGGGGTGGGGTGGGCGAATTGCACAAACAGGTCTTTGTTTACACAGGATTGTCACTCTTGCTGGCTTACTGGTCCTCTACTGAACTGTATTCAGACATTTGTTAAGATGTAGCGGTTTTTGAAAATGACTCTTGAGGTCTTCCTTGTTTGATGGTAGTCTTGCACTATTTCCAACATTTCTGGGACACAAGTTCATTTTCCATAACACTCCTCTTTTGTTTTATTTTGGTTTTTTTTTTACATTTCTTTGGTGGCCTAGAAGTAAATATACTTGAAGTTCCCATCAGGCAAGGAAGGGAGTAGGTTTTGTTTTCTTCAATTATCCCTTTCTTTCCTCCCCACACTGCTGAGCTCGATCCAGTCTAATTTCTTACGGTTCTTGGCCTGACAGTTTACCACGTGGTGAAAAGCCTTTCTGTTTCTGGATCAACCAAACTCCACCAACACTGTGGCTCAATTTCTCAGCATTTTGTGTGCGATGATCACCCTGGGATTTTACATGTTAAGAAAGGAGAAAAAAAAAAGCTGAAGAGCCATCATGCTTTCTGGCTAGTTTCAGAAATGAATGCTTTGAATTTAACTGCATCAAAGAAGTTTACACGCGGTTAATTTGGTTTTCCACCTCCTGCTGGGTGGCTTGTCTTTCCTCCCCCATTTCTTTTTAAGGAAACCTTCTAAAGCAAAGGCTGTAAACTTATTCCACTTGCAAATGCAGTAGGTGGTTTGTAAGAAAGCAGTACAAAGAGCAAAATGTGTATCATTCCAATCCTTGTCATGTTTTCAATGGAATTAGATTACCTTCTTGGCTTTAGCAAGGTGTGGTAGACAGTGGTTTGCCATATTAATTTTCTGTGTTAAAGCATCTTTTTTTTTTGCTAGTAGAAAACGTGTTGCAGGTGGAGAGTTTTTATTTAGTTTTCCGTTTTGAATGTGTTGGACTTAACATACAATAAACTACTGATGTCTGCATCATTCAGCACTGTCCTCTTGTCTTGAAAGGCAGCTTGTCCTCTCTACAGCCTTCTCTGGGAATTCAAAAGCTGACGTGTAATCAAGATCGAGTAGTGTGTAGTGATTGGAAGTAGCGTCATGAAACAGGTGTATGTTACTGGGCTAAAATGTGTGTTACTCATTTTTGAAGTGTGCTTTAAACCTTGTTTTGGTAAGCGCATGGTATAGCATTATCAAAAGTGATTATAAACCCAGAAATGCGTTCAAACATTTCCTAGAAGAGTCCCCTTTTACTGTTTTTTTTTAGTTCTAATTAAGGGCTCGGTTCTTCCGTCGACAGTCTTATGTTTTTAAGTGGGGCTGTTTAAATTCTTTTTAAAAACTGTTTCATTTGTACATCGAAAACCGAGTAACATGTTAAAAAACGGAATTCCCCAGTCAGATTGCTTAAACTCCCTGGGGAGGTCAATGGCCGTTGTGGTCTGTTTTGGGAAACCGCGGTATTTGGAACAATTGTCTCTTTAAATCTATAATTTCTGTTCTCCGTCTTCAGTCATTAATTTCACATTTGCTATTTTTTGTGGGAATTTAAAATTGATTGTGTCCAGAGAGACTATTTCTCGCCGTGATCAAACGTTAACGTTTCAAAGCTTTAAAGCACTGGGTGTATTAGTGGATTAAAGATCCTCGGATTATTAGGGTTTTGAAATGTTTCACATGCTTTTCTGTGTTCCCAGGCGTGTGACAATCCAAAGAATGCTTATGATCACCTTTAATAGCACTTTAGAAAAGTCGGTCAATCCATTTACATCCTTCCATTGTTTAATTTATATTTGGTATAAAACCTCCCATGATATTGCCTTGCAGTTGTAAAGCATAATTAAATCTGCAAACCATATTCATTTACCCTGACCAAAAACTGAATCCCCAGATCTTGGCGATAACAAGCAAATTTGGCATTTGTGAGACCACGCTTCCGCTGAAATGCAGCCATAGACAACAAGCAACCTTGAATGTACTGTAACACAGAATCAAAGACGCGACAAAGCAATTATTTTCCAATCTTTTTCTGGAAATATTTATCGCTCGCGTGTAAAAATGTTTTGAGTTCTGATTAAGTGCGTTTGGTTAAGATCTTCTGCGAGAGATAGTGTGTGCTTCCTCATACTGAAGAAGAAATTGTCATTTCCATGTTGATGTACAGTATCGGATTATATGTAGTATCACTATGCTGTTTATTGGTGCCTGGGTTTTGAATGTGTAGGTGCGTAAGAAGTCTTGCAGTTTAGACCTCAGTCTTATGGAAACGTTTGGGCTGGGTGCAAGTTTGAAGAAAAAACAGTATTTTCCACTCGTAATCCGTGATTTTGACACACCTCAAATTCAAGCAAGGTGTAAAACGTATCACGTTTTATTTTTTCAATATTGATATGGAAGAAAAGCTATTTGGAAGGGTTAGTTAAGCCGACTAAAACCCGAATGATTTTTTTTCTTGCAAATGCATTATAAGAGTTGTTTACAAAACTCTTATTAAATTATTTTTTTTATTTTCAGCGTGGACATATGGCGAATTTGGTGGTTTTAAGTCTGAATTCGGATTGAACGGAAACGGAGCGTCGAAATAAGAAACGTTCAAAAATGCAACAGATCGAGGGCCAGAATTTACAGTAGCTTTATCATCCGGTTTTGTGTTATATATTTCTCCTAACGGAAAAAACAAATAGCAGCATATTGGCTTTCGACAGCTGTACCGGTTGCACAGTGGGTTCTTGATTATGGTATTTTCTTTTAAAGGTGGGTCGCTAAACGTTTTACCACTTGCAACTGAAAACAGTGCTCTGTAATGACAAATGTTAAAACGCCCCCGGGCAGGTGGGAAAACGGCATTCCTTTACAGGTGGGTGCAATTGGCATGCTTGAATTGGCGCTGCTGTCCCATAATGGCCGCTGCCATGATATTAAGTCACCTGGGTGGCTGCTACACTTCGGGGGCGGACGAAGCGCGTCCCCTCCTGTGTAAGTCCTTTTAGGACGGACATAGATAACGAGGTGCGAGCGTCTCCCGCCCAGCTTTTTTTGTTGTTGTAGTTTCACAGTAAAGCCACGTTGGGGACATTGGTTACTCCGGCAGAAGCCCTCAAGAGGCTCGTAGCAGCAGCAGCGGCGGCGACGTAACGTTTTTTTTTTGTGTACGGAACGGGGGAGCGGTTGCCGTTGGTAACGCCTCGGCCGCGGCTGCCCTGCGGCTCCTGCCTGCGTCTCCCTGCCGAAAACAAACAGGCGCTTCCTCCGCCCCGGACCCGAGTCTCCCCCCGCCCCCCCCGCTGCCCTCCTGCGGCTCTCCACGTCCACTCGTGTGCGTCCTTTCGCGGAGAGACGCGCCCGCCCTGACCGAGACGCTTTTGCGACCGAGTTTTTGTATTTGTTTTTTTTTTCTTACATTAACGCTATGTACGGATAAGCTGTACAGTTTTCCGAAACGACAACAACAACAACAAAAACACACACAAGAGTGAAGATTGTCTGCATCTTGATGGAGTGAGTGCGCCCCGTCCACTGCAAGTAAGTCAAGTGCCTCACTCTGTGCAATCAATCTGGGCAATGAAGCAGAAAGCCCTCAAGAGCCAACTGCATGAGGTATTTAAAAAGTAGTCGCATGATTTCGCATAACGGGGGAAAAAAAATGAACGGTAAACTTTTTTTTCCCTAACCACACGATTGCCCTTCCCATTTTCTAGTGACTGTGGTTTTAAAGCTTTCTTAGTGTGTGGGTGGGAGTGCGTTGATTTTATCCTTGGACAGCTTTCCAAAACATTCATCAGTAGTGGCAGTTTGTAAGTTGGTGATAAAAGCTGTTTCCCCACCGAACTCGGTAGAAAATATATATTAAAAAAAGGTGGTCATGCTCATTTTGAGCTCCACACGACAGCAGTTAGCATCACCCGTCTTGGCGGCGTGGCGAGAACACGAACCCACGCGAGCGGGACATGTCCACTCTTCCCCACGACAGCTGGTGTCGGCAGGCGAGATGGACAAGTATGAAAGTCTGGGGCTCGTCGGGGAAGGCAGCTACGGTATGGTGATGAAATGCAGGAACCGAGAGACCGGGCGGATAGTTGCGGTGAAGAAGTTTCTGGAGAGCGACGATGACAAAACGGTGAAGAAAATTGCCATGAGGGAGATAAAAATGTTGAAGGTGAGTGTCTTTTCATTTTTTGGGGGGGGCGGTTTTGATTTTTGTGACGCCTCGGCAGGCCAGATGGCTTTCACGTCAAGACACATAAAACTTTCTGAAAATTGAACGCATCCTGCCTGGCATTGTGATCTAATTATTAATCCGATTTAGTTAATAAATGAACATGTAGCACTTAATTTGCGTTTTTAAGAACAGCTCATAAGAACTTAATAAAACGAGTTGATTCGTGACTCTTATCTTCCTAAGTTTTAAAGTACGTTTCAGAAAAGACCCAATATAGTTTTTTTTCCTCTGTGCTTTACAGTACGCTTATAGCATGTAGGTTTTCTTTAATAAAGGTAATGTTTGGCTGAGCTTGGACATCTTTCTTGGGACTGTTCTGGATTTAAAGGGCGGTGATCAGGTGTCACCCAACTACACGCTCCACAGAAACGAATAATGATGCGGTAACGCAATGCCTTAATAAACACATGCAAAGAACATCGATCTATTATTCCTATGGGAGCAGGATGTAAGAGCTTTAAATGCTTCAAAGGGCAAATTGCTCCAAACCTGTGCCAACAGCTGTGTGTATAAAAATAAAAACTTTTTTTTGAGGCAATACAGAACTTCAGACTTGGAGGTCATTTACTATATTTCTTATGAGGTTTTAGAAGCAGGAGCATAAGCATAGAATTGGCACCAATAAATCGTTCAAGCATATAAGAGTTATGATAATTGTCTATATTTCTTCTTCTCAGTATTAACCAGGATTTTATACTATTGCGTGGGATTAGAGTATTGATTTTTTTTTTTATAAGGGTCTGAACCTTAATGGGGGTAGTAATGTTAGAGCTAAAGTTATTTTTTTCCTTGTAGAATTTGAGATTCCAATGAAATAAAAGCAAGCAAGTTACTGCTTTCATTGCTATTTATCATCCACTAGATAAGAAATTGATTTGCAGAGTCAACAGACCAATGTCTGTATTTGACTTCAGGCCACATAATAATCTTGCCGAATGTGTTAGTCTACTTTTTAATATCCATTGCTTTCTAAAGAATTGTAGTGTCTTTAAAATAGTTTAACATATTTGCTGATAACTTAGGCCTGATAACCTATAACCCAGTATAAGGCCAAAGCTGAGTAGTTGAAGACAGTAGTCTTTCCCTTTTGATAATGCTGTGGCCTGATTTTTTTTTTCTCATGGCCGCAGACAGCTGATCGTGGGGATGGTTGCAGAGGAAACTCAGCCAAGCAGTCTAGACCCAATTGATTTTCCTTTCATAGACTCCAAGACAAAAGCCAATTAAGACACCCCTGAGTGTACTTGGAGGCCAGAATCCTTGTGCAGCAGGGATCAAAACCAGTATCATCCTAGAGATCATTAAATAACTTTCATTTTAGCACAACACTCTGTTTAATTTGGCAGGTTCTAATACCATTTCTTTGATTGAAATACTGAAATTAATTGAATGTGTAAACAATTAAATGCTGCTCCTTTTTAAAGCTGAATGAGAGTTAGGCTCCCTTTTTTTGCCCTTGTGTAAAACGAATGCATGTTCAGTACTGGTACAGTACTCATCAAGGTTGAGCTACAGTACAGATCATGTTTGACCAGCAGTGCTCAGTGTTGGTGAGAAATGGTACAAATCTAGTGGCTGGCTGGGGACTTAGACTTTTCCTGCCATCCATAACCATGTCTTTCCTGTGATTAGCATTTAATCTGCACAGTTTCCATTATTCCTTTGGTGTGTTGGTGTGAATTGGCTTAACTGCACATCTTGTAAGAGACCAAGACTGTTTGTCATTCCTTGGGGTCAGTTTGGGTGTGCACTAAAATGTTATGCTGACGACCGCTGGGAATTGCAAAATGAGGAAACTGATTTGTAAATGTACATTTTAAAGAAATGGAAAAACTTACAACTGAAAACAATGAAAGAAAATGTCTTAAAATCACTTTTCTTTTTAGGTATCAGGCCAAAGACAATTTGTGTTATCATTATTTTCACTTCCTGTCCCTTTCATAGTTTATATGGAATACACTTTTTGCCACAGATAGCTTCATAGGTGAAGAGCAGCTTGATGAGTATGTTACATGAACTCATGCATTTGGGCCAGGGAAATCTGTCACCCTTTGGTATGGGATGATCATTTATTCAATACAATAAGATAAAGTAAAAATAGAATAGAAACAAACAAGAATAAAAACATGTTCGGCATTGGGGGAGAGAAAAACAAAAACTCCCATAGGAGTTTATTAAGCTCTGGGGATCCAAAGCTTCACAGTTTGCCCCCTCTCCAAGCAACAGCAGAGGGTTCAGTCTGTTTTAAGAAGGTATCTCTTGTCAGAGTATATATCATGAAGTCGTCAGGGGCACCACTAGAAACGCGGCTCTTCATAAGTTTGTGTGCAAGCCATGTTACAATGTCTTCTCGGCAACTTTGATCAGGATTTTTTTTAACATGTTTTACCTCGATAGGCAGAATCGCCCCCCCCCCCCCCCCCCCCCACAGTGGGTGAACAAGCCTAGGCAGGTTCCAGAGCTGCAGTTAGACGGGCCTTCACTATAATTTATTTTAGACTGGCAAAATTAACTCACAGGGCTGTGCTTTTTTACCCCTGGGGTGTTTTTTAACTCCTTTGTATTTTAGTAATGGGATATATTACTTCTGTTGTCTTATCACTTTCACAGTTTTGGCTGTAAAGGGTCAATGGGCTCAGGTATGTGCCTTTCATTATAAGCCTATGAGGTGTTAAATAATGAACAGTGTTGTTTAACGGATAGACGTCCTTTTGCTTGATATTTTTTAAGTGTTTGTGTTAATTAATGACCTGCTGCTGAATACAGAAGCACCCATCTGGACACATTCAGGAAAACAAAATCTTGAGCTTAAAGTGTTTTTCACCAGTGTGAATATTAAACAAAATTTAAAAGTGGGTCCCCTCCTGTATGTGAAATGCTTTGGGATGAAAAGTGCCATATGAACACAAGAAATTATGGTTCCAATCAGACACTACCAGGTGAGTACGAGACGTGCTGTGAATATGAAAGGGCACAGGAGTTCAATCAGACACTCTTAGGGGATGGAGAGGAAGAACTGAGTGTCACCGGCATGACGTGAGCAGGAGGGCTCATGGGAGGTAACAAGAACCCAAAGAGACCTTGCTTGTGTCGAGGGAGAAAAGAAGTGTCCCGACACTTACACAAAAGAAACACAGTGACGTGAAGTGATGCATTTTTGCCTTGCTTACCGTGCTTTACGTTTTGTGCTATGTACCCTGTATAATTTATTTGACAAAATTCCATTTTTTTTTTAAATAAGATCAATAAGATCATGACTTTAGAATGTTACACCTTTATAACCTGGGTACTCACATAGGTATTTAACAAACTGTTACCTTTGTAATATTTGTCAAATCAATAATTCCGATTATTATTTTTGTTGTTGTTTTACTGGCTAGTTTCCATTGCCAAGCTCTAGTCTATCTAGGTCTGTCAAGCTCATGCCTGTCACCCACCTGGCATCACTCCCATCCTCCCTTGCAGGTGATGAGCCCACACAATGGCTCAAGTAACCATTTTGGGCTGAACCTGGCCAGGTTACATGGATGCTCTCTAACTCTTCCGCTCGTGAAGCCAGGAGATCCCAGTGTGCCTAAACCCGGCAAAGCTCTCTCAGGTTTTAGTTCAACCATCATGGGAGGGTAGTTCTTTTTCTGGCCCCTCACCTCAGACCAGTTTGCCAAACACAAACTGCTTGGAGCACAAAACACCTGACAACATAGCTCTTGGCTTCCTGGGGCACCCAAGCCCTTCCACCATGTCATGGCAGGGTCATGAATCAATGCGGATGCTGTACCAAATGGTGGTGGAGCAGGAGCTGAGTCTTCAAGCTCTCAGTTTTATGGTTGATCTGCGTCTCTTTCCTCACATACAGTCACAAGTTTTGGGTGGTGACTTAAAGAATAAGATCACAGGTACAAGTGGCAGGAGTGGGGTTTCTCCATAGCGCTGCTGGGCTTACTCTCTGTGACTGGCCGAGGAGCTCGGCAGTCTGGGAAGATCTTGGGGTCGAGTCGCTGCTCCTCTGGATCGAGAGGAGCCAGTTGAGGAGGTTTCCCAGGTGCCTCCTAATGGAAGTGTACCGGCTACGACCGACCCACTGGGAAGACCCCCTCGGGGAGACCCAGGGCACACTGGAGGGATTATATCTCTCGGCTGGCCTGGGAACTGCTGGGAGTCCCCCAGGAGGAGCTGGAGACTGTTGCTGAGGAAAGGGAAGTCTGGTCTGCTCTGATCAAGCCGTTAATACCTCGGGCCTCATGAGGAGTAGGCAGTTAGGAAATGATGATGACTGTTTTACTGTCTTTTTTTGTAGAAACATTTTTTTAGAAATAAAGTAATGACAGAACCAGTGTTAATTTGTATGTGTATGATATCCCTGTGTAAAGGATTATCATCCAACTAGCTTGGGTGATTTATCAGCATCTGATATTATTTTGTGGATGTTGCTGAGATACACAGTTCCCTTATCAGGTTTGAATATGTAGTGGCCTTTCAATAAAGAAATGGGATTATTTCATCATCTTTATGCACAGAAAACCTTTAATATCCTGTTTAGCTAGTATACGTTTTATTGTTAGTGATTGGTGTTATATTCTCTCGTTTTACTACAGCAACTGAGGCATGAGAACCTGGTCAATCTTCTTGAGGTGTGCAAGAAGAAGAGAAGATGGTATCTCGTGTTTGAGTTTGTGGACCGCACTGTATTAGATGATTTAGAGCAGCATCCTAACGGATTGGACCACAGCAGAGTCAGAAAATACCTCTTCCAGATCCTGAAGGCCATCGCATTCTGCCACCACCATAATGTGAGCTGCAGTGCATTTGGCTACACTCTGTCTGAATACTTGATACACATTTACTTTCATTACAGATATTGGGAAAACCTTGAGAACTTTTGTGGTAGCTACCTGTAAAGTCCTCTAAGGCATAAAATAACCCTCATATACTATTTGCCTGTTGTTGACCTATTAATCTTACAATAGCTTTCCTTAGTTGAGAGTTTTGCTAGCTTTTTTTCCAGGAACATTTTCTGAAAAGTACATACAGTACAGTGTAAAAATGCTGTTGAATCTAGTCCGACAATGCAACGAAAAAATGGACATGGCAAATAAAATGGTTGTTATTTACACTTAACCATTGTGGGGAGCGAGGCTTAAGAGCAGTACAGTCGCTCACTCGAATGCAGGTGGAGCTCCACGATCTAGGTGTCTCAGGTTTGAGTGTGGGTCGTGTCACTAGGCAACTTTGACCAACCTTGACCAGGATTCCCCAGATGGTGGCGCACCATTATTATGAGTGGCTGTTGATAAACCATTTTTGTCCCACCCATTTTCGAAGTGGTCTACATTTTAAAAACATGATTACAGGATTTCATGATGCATAGAATGTCCTCTGTGTCCAAAAGCACATTTTTGTGGTATAATTAATGCAGATCTACTGATCTATCCAGTTTTTGTTTCCAGTGAAAGAAAGAGAATAACAAATTCAGTGAAGCAGTGAGAAACAATCTAGTTACTTAGTTTACCATCTGTTGCAGGACATTGTGCCTTTCACACCGTCCTAATTAAGATTATGTGAGGAGTTCTGATGCCATTGGACCCATCTTCAGGTGTTGACTATGGCAGTAAGCATGATTGAACGCAATTTAGAAAAAATAATTATTATATGCCTTTCTTGTTGCAGATAATCCATCGGGATATAAAACCTGAGAACATTTTGGTATCTCAGTATGGAGTTGTCAAGCTGTGTGATTTTGGATTTGCGAGGACGATGGCAGCACCTGGTGAGGTCTACACAGACTATGTGGCTACACGTTGGTACAGGGCCCCTGAACTGCTTGTGGGAGACACTAAGTATGGCAAGTAAGTCAACAATGTTGTGATGAACGTGCACTGTATTTAAATCTGATACAGATCTCTGGCTGTATCCCTAGGTGACTGTGACTGGCATTCACACAGTGATAGCTCACAGTTGAGATACCACCGCCAGGGTAAGTATGGGAGCAGTAGGTCAGGACTCTTTGGACTTCTCTGACATCTTATAGCATGGGTGGGGACCTTCACGTTTGCAGTGATGTCAGTGAGAGATGCGTGGTTTCTGCTGTCACGGGTCTTGTAGCTGGTCAAGTGACAAATGACTCTTAAGTGGGTATGTTGTAGGAGCAAGTGTACTTATCTCTTAATAATAATGAATAACTTTTATTTATAAAACACCTTTAAAAACCCACGGATGCTTCTTGTTTTAGGATTTTTGGTTTATATCAACTCGACTTTTGATGCCATTTAACAGTCTGGAAAATGACTGCATTTTCAATCATGTGTCGTCTGGTGTGTTCCTTCCCAAGTATGTTGAAGTCATGCGATTGGTACTGCTTATTTTTCAGAGCTGTGGATGTGTGGGCAATTGGTTGCCTGTTTGTAGAGATGCTTACAGGGGATCCTCTTTTCCCAGGAGATTCTGATATTGATCAGCTGTATCATATTATGAGGTGCTTTGGTGAGTTAACTCAAGTCTTCTGTGCTTTTTCTGGATTTTTCTGTCCACAGACCTTGTGTTTCCTGAAGGATTGAAAATAAAAGGTATCGCTTCAGACTTATGATCTTTTTGACTTAAGACATTAAAAATCAGGAAAGCTATAATGGTAAAAACTGCTGGGGGTAAATCGATAAGATTTGGCATTTATGTGCACTCTTGAAAAACATGGCTGTCAATAGTATTTTTGGATATCCAAATGGTTTTAATATAAATGTTAAATGTAATGTTTCATGGAACAAAATTGGATCCTGGAAAAATGTTATAAATTACTAAAAGCTGTTTTTATCAAAACAGCATCTGGCGCAGTACTTTTTTCAAAGTAACTGACATACATTTAAGAGGACATTTAACATGTACTGCCAACTTTTTTTTTTTTTAGGTAATTTAACACCAAGACATCAAGAACTGTTTTACAAAAATCCCATTTTTGCTGGTGTGAGACTGCCTGAAATTAAAGAGAAGGAGCCTGTTGAGAGACGATACCCAAAGCTTTCACCAACAGTCTTAGACCTAATAAAGGTCTGTAATAAAATAAATACACTTGAGTTTTCTTACAAAATTGTATTCTACAATTATTTCAAATGATGATAAAGAGTTTTGATATACCTGCTTATATATACCTGCTTATTATCTTAGTACCAGATTTCACACTCACTGAAATCGATTAATAAAATGCCTAACATTGGAACTCTTTTAAAATTTAGGATTAATAATAAGAAAAATCATCACAAAAAATTTTGTAATTGCTGCAAGCACATCACTTAAATATGAAATAGATCTGATGAGTGACATTATGGTTTTCAGTCCTGTTACTGGTACTGTACATTTTCACAAGCCAAATGGAATACAGTAACATAATGCTTCTGGCAAATGGGAAACAAATCTGGAAGAAATAATAATTATAATTGCTTACACTTATATAGTGCTTTTCTGGACACCACCACCAATGTGCAGCATCCACCTGGATGAAGTAGGTAAACTTCAGGGTTCTGTTCAAACAACCTTGTCATTTTAGGTTTTCTGTTCTGTGAATCTATTTCATAATCCCTTTTCCGTTAAATTAAAAATCTTAGAATGTCCTGTTGACCCACACATCTTGGTGGTGCTTAGGATCTTACCAAAGTGTGTTGAACCATTTGAATTCTGCCCCTGCAGAAGTGCTTGCAGATTGACCCAGATAAGAGGCTTCCCTGCAGTGACCTGCTTCAGCACGAGTACTTCACTAAAGATGGATTTACTGAAAGGTAAGAAAAACCTGCTGCTTTATCCGAAGGCCAGCATCGTGTTTTGCACGTTCCTGTTGAACAGCAGAGTAGAAGAAAGGATTGATTGCAGCAGATGGCAATGTTGTACTATCATCTCTTATAGCAAAATTACAAAGCATTTCATGCCCGTCCTTCAGTTAAGCCTAAATTTTAAGTTTTTATTTTAGTATTTATTATGATTTCTTAAGATGCTAAATATTTAAATTAGATCTAAAAACATCTTTAAAGTTTCATTGACCTCAATAGGAGTGTCTTTGAATAATGCTCTGTCATTTCACTTGTGCTCAAATTTCATCCTCATTTAAAACATCTAAAATATGAAATAACCTATAAAATGTCAAATGTAATATACGAATGTAAGAGATTACTTGCATCAGTGAATGTTGCCTTAATGATTGTAAACTTGAGGTTTGAATGTAGTTGTCATTCTCTATGAATATAAAGTTAAAAAATATATTAATTCAATTTTAATTTTTGTAAGTTATTTGGAAATGCCTAACATTTTTTCTCTAAAAAATGACTTACCAATAGAGAGTCACATAACTGATAGATATACACATGGTTCATTTGAAAGATTTACACAGGAGCTGAATTTGAAGATTGAGAAGCACCTAAAAGAAAACACTTCTTTGCCAAAAATGTCCAAAATGACAAAAAAGGAAAAAGAAGATTCTCCAGTGGAAGAAAAGACACTAACACAATGGGTGAGTTTAACATTCCAGGTTTCTCATTAAAGCTTTACCATGCAAGAGGAAAGATCAGTGCACTTTCTCTAATCCCAGTATGAAGAGAGGTCACATCTTCAGACCCAAAGGAGAAAGTTAATGAAACTAGTAGCAGTTTATTCTGTAATGCAGGGATTTGAACATATTAATCGCCTACTTTGCATAGAATAAAACTAGTGTAGGACACACTGATGAACATTAACTTGGTTTTTGTTCAGTGATATCAAGTTAAACTGTTCGATAAAATTGGCATATTTCAAATTTCTCCAGGAAGATAAATTGTGTTGTAATCCACGTGATTAAAAACATTCTGTGATTTGCATTGCCTTTTGAAGTTTTACAGTTGCTTCACAGTTATGCAAATATACCTTTGAAATAAAATACAAAGCTGGTACAAAATATATTTTGTTTCTGAAAATTATTCAAAGCTTATCTTTCCTATATTCCACTCACAAAAGGTTGAATACTGTATGTGTTAATCCATGTACCTCTCCTTTCTGTTCTCTTCCCTTTTTCAGAACTCTAATACCAGCATAAAAGTCAAAGAAAGTAAACCTGACTTTAAAACTCCTAGGGGAACAGACTCCAGATCAGACACCGACAAATCTGAGAGACTTTGTACCAAAAATGGGAATGAGGCATTGGAGAAGGCTTCTGAGAGCCTGATGATCCACAGCAAAACTTTGCCTCCATCTATGAAAGATTTAAACAGTAACCAAGATCATTCTAAAACTGGAGCAGCACCTGTGATACCTCCCATTGCACAGAACCCCTCCTCCATCATTACCAACAGCATCAACCTGAGCACAGTGGCTGGGCCTGTAGCAGGGCCGCCCAGCTTCAGGTACAACTGTTTGCACTGTGACATGTAACATACTGTATCAAGTCAGGAAAATGCGATGTTCATAAGGCACAACCTGTTACAATGGAAAAGAATCCCTGCTTCTCTCTGAACTTTTTAATAACTGCATAATGTTTTTTATGAAAGAAAATGTTAGTGGTCAACTAAATCATTTCCATACCCTTTTCAAATAAAGAGAATAAATGATTTCAGCAAATAATGTCTGCACAAATGACCATTGAAGAGACAGTAATTTGGCTAATATTTGCTGCTCTTGCAAAATTAAGTGTACATTAAATAATATTTTCACGATTACTGTACAGGGAAGTATGCTGTGCTGCTGATATTGTATTTCCGAGATGTGGATTATTAGAAAATAAGAAAGATTACAAAGGAAACAGGGACATTTACGGTTTATTTTTTAATCATTCATGAAATGTATTCTCATTCATTTTCTATTTTTGTTTTTTGAAGGTCAAATGACAAGGTGAAGAAACATATAAACGTCTTCAATAAAAAATGCCAACAATCGTTGTCCAACCACTGCACTGGAAACCTGGCTGCACGGGTATACTTCACTAAAGTACAAGAGTATACAGTATATGTAAAAGTCTGTGATAATTTAATAAACCAAGAACACTCAAACACGTTTAGACTGGTATCATCCCATACGGAAATGGCTCTATTCTCAGAATTTTATAAACCACAAGTGCTGGCCACAAAGTAATTACTTATTAAGGGCAGGAAACAGGCAAAAGCGATAAATTATATCCCTCCCCAGTCCTCATTCCAGATTAATTATCTATTGTTGATCTCAGGATTGGACTTGTCTTTTTTTATTTTAAGAAATCAAAACATTCTGTTAGAAATTAAAGATTTCGTATGTTCTTATTCCACAACTGAACTGTGAAACCTCATGTTGAAATGGGTTTTAGAGGCTTGGTGCCACTTAGAAGGATTTTTTTAATTTTCATTTTTTAGCAGGTATTAGCAAAAAAGCAACAACAGTTTACCTACTGTAGTATTATGATGTCAGTCATAAGTATCAAACTAAAATTGTTCAGCCATTTGGTGATAATGCTTTTCAAAGTCTTTTTGCTACAGTTTCTTGAGAAATGTGAACATGACAAGCATCATTGTCATAACATGAAAATCTTGTGCTGAAGGTTATTTTCATATAAAATATTTTCAGTTATTTAAATTGTTGCATTATGAAAAGGCTATGATAACTTCACGGATGAATTCAAAGAACCTGAAAGGATTGTAAAGCAGAAGTGAAGAACTTCATTAATCCTAACTTATGTTTTCAGTAGCGACTATAAGAATACAGCATTCTCGTTTAAGACGTTGACCCAGTTGAAAATATTATACAGTATAGATGTAATTGCAGGAAACTTTAACAGTCTTCCTAACTGACAGTGTGTTATGGCTCTTCGTGGCTTTAGGTTACCTCTGAAAGGAGCATCATTCACGAGCGCTCGGTTCAACCTGATCGCACAGGAAATGGGACCAAGAAAAAAGGAGATTTCTGCAAAGCTGACGTTCACCTCCCAGAGCTCAGGAATAGCCATTTTCCAGACCTAAAAGGAGGTGAAGGTACACGTCACACACTAAAGTATAAATATTATATGCGCATACTAGGCATACATTTTGTATCATTATGTCAAACAATAACTTCGGTCTGTCATTTTTTATTTCTCCATATCAATTATTGTTAAAAGACAGCTAACGATCACCTTTTCTTCTCATCTCACCAATGTACGTCTTTATTAGACAACTTTATCAATATAAATGCAGTATCATTTTGGAGAACAGTGCCTGTGCCTTTCATTCACTACTGGAGTACACTTCAGGGCAGGCACCTTTATTCCTTTGGTCAGTAACATTGATAGTTTTCAGTCGTTGACAAGGATCTCTGAGTAAATGACATAGGCTGCAGAACTGCGTTGGTTAAGAAAGTAAATGAATGCTTATGGCATTTTGATTGTTCAGAAAGGGGAATGCTTATGTCTCCCACAGGCAAACATTCTAAACACTTGAAGAAGGAGCACAAGAAAGTCCCAGAGTGCCGCATTCCTTCTATAGCTGCCATGGACCTCCATTCTAATGGGGCTTTGCAACAGGTATGATGCAGTATTTGAGGCCCACATGCAAAAGATGACATGATTACTGGGCACTATTTCTCATGACACATCATAAAACCCCCAGCTAGGTATTTAACCGGACAGTCTACGTTTTTTCTCACACCATCTTAATATTTTTCCAAAACGTTTCCTATAACCCATTGTTTATGGTTATTCATCTAGTTGTGAAAGGATCAGAAGCAAATCCCTGTCTGCTTCCATCATCACATTATAGCTTTAGTATTGTGATGTTTCAGTTATTTCTATTGTATTGTAGGAATCTCGTAGTATGTACTTTATATGCTATGCTATGTGTACAGTAAGCTGGGTGTATAAGATATCTAGTGTGCCTCCAGTATATACAAATACTGTATGTAGTGATAAAAGGCAGAACACATAAATGAGACCCAGCAGGATTATCCTGCTTCTGAGATGCTTCTGCTTCTCTTTTTTTGTACATGGTTTGTTATTCAGGTTAAGACGCAACACAAGGGTGCAGGGTAGTCTTAGCTTAAATCGGTATGATTCAAATGCTAATGTTAACTACACAAAGGAAAAGAGGCACTAACTGATTCCATCATGAATTTCATAGACCTCCATCAGCAGGGATGTAAACAAAGTCAGAAATTTCCCTGTCAAACGGGTAATAAGGGCTGTCACTTTGCCGGTGGTAAAAATTATGACTTCGATTTAAATAACTTTATTTTTCCAAGGATTGTTAATATATACTGAGAGGCCTGGTTCCAAATACTCATGTTATATTTCTAAGGCTTCCCTGTGCATTTACTCCTGAATGTACGAGAAAGGTCTTTACAGGGCTGGTTTATATCCAGCCACAACCTCAGACTTACAAGGCTTTCTTATTCTTTTCACTTCTCTTCTCCTCGTACCTCTGTTCTGGAAAGTACGCAGGTTTGCTCTGGGGCACATAGCAGATATAACAGGACAGTTTAAAGAACTGGACTGTGCTAACGTCACAGACCATGAATTGTGATCTGGGTAAGCCCCTTTACTGGTGTGACAAAGAAGATGGTACATTTCAGCAGCACGTTTCAATGTAGTGTGAACTGCTGTTCGAGAGCCATTTCCCTCAATGCTTTCATAGCAAATCAGAATATTTTAGATTACTTAGCAGTAACCTAGTGCATTTCACCTTTATGCCAATTTCAGTCTATCCAGACGCAAATAGTTTAATGGTATTGACCAGGAGTGAAAGCTGGTGGTACTGCCTCTGAACTTAACCACTACCATGTTGTTGGTTGCAGGACAGTGATGGATTCAGTTTCATGACTTTGTTACGCATTTTATATATGAAGCAATATTACTGGCAACATCAGGACCTGAAATTTAACTCCATGGTTGACTTTGAGTTCAATAAAATATGTTGGTTGAGAGGAAAATTGACAGGATTTTTAGGGGGGCAGCTATATTCATGACAATTCTATCTTATATCAAGAAGTGAACACATTTATTCTGTTGCTCTGGAGAATGTTTCTGCAGAGTTTGCACTTGATTTTCCAATTATTCTGAACAATTTTTATTTTCCATTTCCTGTCTTTCTCAGATTTCTGGAAGTTCAATCCGTGAAGCCACAGAGGCCAATTTCCCTCATGTTGAGTTTTAATATCGGAGGGGAGTGTCGATTTCATGTGATCAACGGGTAGCACATACACCTGCAGTGTATGTCCCTATGCTGTATTTATTTTCAGGCAGCTTCAGTTTGACTTTTTAAAAATTGTTCTGCTTCCCCAGTGTATTGCTTTCCATTCAAAGGCTAGTTCTGCTGCAATATTTTGTTTGCGTGGAAAGGATTATTCAGAGCATAAAAAATAGAGAACCATACAAATTAAATCTTACCATATATAATGAGTTAAAAATGTGAATGTACCCAGACCTGTAGATAGTCAGTTTGAATTCACCACTTGTGCAGTTTATTTTAGTTCCATGTATGCTATTGTCTCAGCAGTGATCACTGGGGAAGAGTTGTATAAAAATGCAATATGTCCATTCTACTTTGCTCTTTATACAAATAAATGTAAAAATACAAATTTGGTTGTGCATTGTTTGATAAATCTCATCATTGACTGTTTTCTTTGAAGCAAATGTCTAGTTTGTTATTAGAGTGGAGACAAAAAAAAAACTTTGAGGGCACAACATTAGTGCTTTCCTGCACTCGTCATAAAGTATGCATACTGTACTAGAGACCAACAATTTAATTTAAAACAGTGATTGCAGTGGATGTTGTTACCACATTGCTACCATAACTCCAAATGCGATACTTTATGTCACAATACCGTATAACCCTAATGGAGCTACCTTTTTATTGTATATTATACACATTTATTAGTAATTGTATATTAATAGTAATTAGAAACCAGCTAATTATATTTGAATTTAGATTTTTTAAATATTTTATACATAGTGGTTTAAAAAATGTATGTTAAAGCAAACATAAAAAAGAGGCAAGTTAGACATTTTGAGCAATGGTTTGAATGACTTTGTTGCATACTGTGAGCTGCATTGTAGCTGATACAAGTCTGCACTATATAAAAGCCTGCCGTTCAACAGAAAGGCCCCTGATTTACTTAGTACAGATGCTTCATGCACTAATATTCTGAAGGGAGAGAAAGAAGGTTTATTTTTTCATTTTTTTTCTGGAGTATTTAGAAAAATGTATCATAAGAGCAATTCGACTCATGATCAAAACATACAGTAAAAGTGTTACATGGGTATTAATAAATCAACATGCTAGTTCAAGGATTAGAATTTTAATTATTTGCAAGTGGATTTATTTAAAGACACATTCATTATTAGCAACAAAGTCATGATATAGTTTTAAATTTTTAAAATAATAAAATAATTTACATATAATTTGTTGAAACATTCATAGTGTTCTAGTATTTTGCATTCCTAACACCAGTTTAAGAGCACTAGCAATTCTGAAATGAAGACATTCAAATAGTTTATGGCTTATAAAGAATTTTTATAGAAAAGAGGGAGAATCTATAAGAGAATGGATCTGAGATCTGTAGAAAACAGCCTGATTTAAATCTTACATTCATAGATGTTTACATTAAAACAATACGTGATAAAAAGGGGACTTTTGCCCCTAAAACAATTAAATACTTGTTTTATTTCTGACAGGTAACACTTTGTGAATGTTTTCTTTGAAAAGTGTAAATAAAAGTTTCACCTTAAAGACATTTTAATCTACGGATTTTAATAATATTGTTAAATCTCAGTGAGAAGTACTGCAGTTCAGTCGTTCTGTGTTGCTTGTTGCTTGAGAGGTGTGTTTTCAGGACTTGACAGTTTTCACTGCGGCAGGATTCGTCTCGCCTCCACGTCCTGCCACGAGCTCTCTGATGGAGCGCGACAGCGAGAAGGCCTCTTTGTCACTGACGACGCTACTGTCCTCCGGGTCAGCTTCCCTCTTTCTCCTTTTGCCCTCTTCAGATGACCCTGAGCCTAAAACCCTGCCCAGGCCGCGCACCAAACCTACGTTACCCCCAAGACTGTTGCTGGAAAGAAATCTGCTCTGAAGGGCTAATTTATTGATGGGAACCAGCCGATTGGCGGGATAAAACTGGTTGGTGGCCCCCTGTGTGCCGATGACTTGTTGGCTGGGGACTAGCCCAGTCCTGACACATGGTCTTCTTCCTGGGGAATGCCCGTTGATGGGGGTCTGCGTTTTAGGAGCAAGAGGAACGACAGGAATCACTCTGCTTGATGGCACAACACCAGTGTTTGGAACAAATCGGCCAGCGGGAATCTTTGCACCTCCTGGAAGGATTCCTACTGTTAAAACCCTCCCAAATGTGGGAATAACGCCGTTTGCTGGTACCAGCCTGTTGCTGGGATATACTCCTTGCAGGGGAACTAAGCCATTAGTAGTGTCATACCGATACACTGCTGGTCTGCCATTAGCTGGATTATAAGGGAAAATCACATATCCTCCATAGGGGGCCCGAGGCCTGTCTGTTACCTGGGGGGGCAAATGGGGGGTTGGCAGTGAAGCTCTTCCCGCTTTCGTTGACTGAACGGTTGTTGGTTTTGGTGTGGCTGGGGGGTTGATGGTGACAGGAATAACCTGACAGGGGCTTCCTGTGGAGTCTCCATCTATTACATTGGTGTCGTATCCGTTCAGCCACGCGTCATAGCCGTCCGCGCGCTTCCGAAGTCCTGTGGGGAGATCAGCAAGAGTAGCTATCCCACAGAGAACTAGTGATACACAGACTGACACATATGTCAGGTGTGGGTGTGGTCGTCAATGAACTCCTTGATTGTTCCACAGGTTGTCCACGTTGTTTCGTGTTTGTGCTTTGGTAATACACGGCGCTAAAGGAGTCGCACACTTCTACCAGGGTGGCAGCACTTGAAAAACCCCAATACAATATCTTATATGTATCTATTTCTTGTCCAGTGCTGATATTACCGTGATCATCTAATACGGAAAATGTGGTTTTAATTTCATAATAGTTGGACTGTAGATTCCAATAAAACTTGACAGGTTACAGATGCGGAATAATTGACTAATTCTAACAGAATTGGTCTAGAAGATCATCAAATTAGGAAGAACACTGGTTAAGAAACGAGAAACAAGTTAGAAGCAAGAATAGGTCATTTAGGTCACTTTGTTTTTCAAAATTTAAAACCTCTGCGCGCACAGTTTTTATTTTTAGACAACCTGTCGCAAACAGCATCTTAGAGGAAAATAATTTGCATCGGTGAGGACCAACAAGCACTCACTGTGTCGGCACTTCCACTGTGCCTTTCCCTGCTCTTCACCATTCAGCACAATGCCGGGGTGCCCGATGCTATTGTGTTCCTGATCTGCGATGGACGTCTTATTTGTACCTGTGAAGAGCAACAGCAGTCACTGAGGACATGTGCTAGTTTATTGCACAGTAAGTTACACACCATGGAGCCTCTCTCCTCACATCTGACCATCTTGTATCACTTCTTTAAAGGGCCTGAGAAAGCAGGATTTAATACATGGTTATATATGTGGTGGATGACAGAAAATGATATCATCTATAGTTTAACAATTAGTTATTGCAAAATGGATTTCTAGCAGTGATACACCCCCAGAAAACATAATAATTAGTAGAATTACTGAAAGTAATGAATGCTCATTAACCAGGTCTGTTTAAAAAGAGATACAAGATTTTTTCTGTTTAGTTCATTAAGCACAAGATGCTAGTTAGTTTTCTACATATCCGTGAATTGTTTTAAATAAAAGTAACACCTGATTAGAATCTGTCCTGCATATCTCTTCAAAGGTGGAATCTGGCAATACCAGCAATGTCCCCAGCTGATACAAATTCACTAAATCCTAGTGGCCCTGTGTAGCTTATCACAGTCATGCACTGGTACATTATTTCCAAAGAATGACATGAGGAACCTGGAGCACATCCTTCACACTAGTCAGGCACTTTAACAGATTTATATCCGATCACAAAGGCAAATCGAACTGCTCTGTATCAAGAGTTTCCAGTAGCTGCTAAGAACTGACCGTTAAAACCTTTATTCACTGATTGAAAGAGCTATTAGACATTAAAAATGTCTGAAAATGATGCACTTGTCTAAAGCATGAGCAAATCAGTTTTCCTAGGCTGTGAATAACAAACTCTGAATAGAAGTGAAAGAGAAATAGCCACTTTGATCTACCAATGCTGTACATGCTTTCGAAAAAAGTATAGATATTTATGAGGGAAGCTACTTTTACTTTTGAAACATGACATAAAACATCAACTCAAGCTTGAGACATGAAAATAAAAGATCTCTGATAAACAGCACCTTTGGAATCTCACTATGGAATTAAATCTTTTGTATGAAATATTTACATTAAGCAACCCAAAAATAACTAACGCTTTTTAAAGACGGAAATACGTTTACTCAAGAGCATTTTTAATTTCACTTGCCTGCAGACGGAGCAGCAAAAGACGAGTATAAAAGAAAGAGCATGAAGAGAACAACATCTGCTCTGTGGACATCCATCATTACTGCAGTAATATGTCAGGTGAGCCTGGCTGGGGCTGTTTTAAAAGGGGTGTGGATGAGGTGTATCTACCACCCCATAATTAGTTTTCGCCTGCTTCTGTAAAGGGATGCACAACGTGTTTTATCCAAACTCTTTGTTGTTCCAGACATTTGACTGCGTTCCAACACTTAGTAATGAGTGATCACAGAATTTCAAGGATGTCTGAAGAGAACGGTTTGGATTTGTTAAATATAGAAGCACAGAGCAAGAATGCTGTGTGCTGTTTGATTCGTCTGCCTCTTCCGCAGAGCGCGTTAAAATAACTGCAGGACATGGAACGTGTAAAGCACAACTCTTTTGATCGTTACAAGTACCTGACAGAAAGGTTTAGCATCCTTTTATCAATATTCACACGTTGTTTCCTTTATTGTAAAAATAAGAAAGCTGATTTACAGTAATAAGCATTTGAAGAAGAACATTCTATTCACAAAATAAATTCATTATTTATTAATAATAACTTATTAATTGTAAGTCATGAACTGAAACCAAATGTGAATTGAAACATCTCTCATGAAACCTGTCTAAACTTGATATTGGCAGTAGACCAGACTGAGCCACACAGGTTGGATTTACAGTAAGAAATTACACTATTTATTTTGTGACAGACGTATGACACATAAAAGCAATAGTATATAATATTTCCCCAGGGCTATGTTTCCAGACTGCCGAATTGACTCAAAACACCTGCAGACTACTAATTGGCTTAGTTTGTTGTTGTGAGCTTTGGCATAATTAAAGTCTTACTATGAACCCATAGAGACCCATAGAGAAGGGTTCCTGAGCGACTCAAGGAGTGAATATGATCAGCGGTATTGTCCAGACATGGTCTGGGCAGTATCATTAGTCCACCATGACTGGGATTTCGGAAGTGCAGGCTCTCTGGCGCTCTTAGTAGCCAAATGGATTTGGACAGATTGAATAGACCAGGACAAAGGAAATTCATGGGGGATGCCAGGGAGGAATTGGTATTGTCAGTGAGAAATAAATTAATCTTTCATTTGGTCCTTACTCTCCTGTAAAGCGCTGTGGAGTCTTCATCATGTGAGATGGTCGACAGTGAGACAGTGAGCGTCCCCAGTCCTGAGCTTCCCTTCCCCTGAGTGCAGGATCACAGTGATGAACAGTGTTAATCAATGATTGCCAATTCTACATGGGGAAGGTATGAATGAAAACATCTTTTGTGATTCCACTTTTAGTTTCAGAATGAGCAGGGTTTGTTAACTTCTGGAAGCACTGGTATCTTGAGTTCTCACCTACTTTGAGAATTTGTGTGCCACACAAAGGCTCTTTTCAACTCACAAGCCTGTCCAAAAGGGCTTTTAACTCACATGCATAACTGAAAAATGCAAAATCAAAGGATAAGTAGTGTTTATGTTGAGAGATAAAGAAGACCAAAACCAACCAGTGAGGGTAAATGTTCAATAAACATAAAGTGGTTAGTTCAGTAAACATAAAGTGGTTAGTTCTTCCTGAATTTGCTGCTGTATCAGATAGCACAGGCAAGCTCTAGGCATTAATACAGTAGCAGTCGGCACCATGTCTTTTAAAATAATATATTCCTTCCAGTATGTGCAGAGCGTACCCTTCCAGAGTGAGTCACGGCCTGTTTTGAAAATGGATACTATTCAGTCAGCTTCTTGATTGTAGGTTATTTATCAAACAAACTCACAGGTGACATCACATTCCTGCAACTACTTTGTCTCACCTTGTGTTTGTGTTTTACATAGGTGTTACCATGGGATTGAGAGCGCCGGTGTCTGCTTTCACAGCTAACTGTCTACTGTTTGGTAACATATCCTTCTGCCATCATCACATTTTCTGTAATGAAGCTACAATGGAGCAGACTCGCTGTTTATTTTTTCATGAATTTGTCTCTTGGAAAAAAAAAAGTTGATCTCATATCTGTCTATGTTTCATTTGGAAAAAAAAGAAGGGTAGCCTCAGTCTGATTACAAAGTTAGCTCCTTATAATGATTGTCTCCATTATAAAGTCTGGACATAACATAAATCTTTTATGTTCATTCTTCTTTGTGAACTTATTATTAAAACAAAATACCACAGATTATATTCCAGGCTGAACTCCACCCTGGGTTTGCACATTCTGGTTTACCTGAATTCAACTGGTGATGCAATTTCTCACTTGTACTGTATGTCTGAGCCGCTGTGCAGTGGGGGTGCATGTCATCAGAGGTGGATGAAATTGATTCCCTTCTGTATAAAAAGTGCTTTGTTTATTTACAGTGAAATCACCCCAAATATGCAAGGAATTATTATTATGATTTATTCTTTATTATGAATCATTATTATTATTATTATTACGATGTTGACTATGCTATGTCATAAATAGAACCACACTGCACATTACTGTGCTGGTTAATCACTCATTCAAGCCTCTCTAGAAGACTGTCCCAAGTTAAATGTAGGCATTGCTCTATAGCTACACTCTGTTACATTGCATAGCATGAATGTAGGCAAGGTTGCAAACCAAACGAGGCCAGTCAGTCCATCCAAGGCCGGGCTGGATCCGAGGGTCAGGGTATTGATTTCAACAGCTAGGTTGGGTAGCTTGTTCCATACCTCCCCCGCCCTCAGTGTAAGGATATGCCTCCTGTTCTCAGTTTTAAATGCACTTCCATGTCGTTTCCACCTGTGTCCTCTGGCTTGTGTTTTGCTGTACTGTAGATCCCAAAGACATCCACTAGGTTAACTTTTGTCAGTGCCCTTGAAGATGCAGTATAAGAGGTAGCTCGACATGGGGGCTCCCTGCAGGTGCATCTGTCTCAGGTTAGCCCATTAGACAGACAGAGGGTTGGGACAATACTGCTGGAGTTTGCTAGTGAATAAAGCATATAGTCACATACTGTAAAAATACCTCAGCTTCTACCGATAGCTCATTTGAATGATTACTACTGAGCACCTAAAGAAATTAAAGCCATCCTTCAAATGTATAACTTGAATTGTACCAGCTGGAGAACAGTACAATAATAAAGGAACACTTTTGAGTGGAATTGGAAAGGAAAACATTGAGCCCAATGAAAGGGTTGTTCTTTGTATCTATCTGTTTGCTCTGTTTTTTTTTATTAAGGAATCCATCGCACTAGTGTTGAAGAGAAAACAAGAGTGCCAACATTGTCCTTTTGCTGTCATGCTGTCTTGAATACTGGCATTTTTCACTTCCATTTTGCCTCAGCATGGGCTGGCAGTGTCTGTTCTTGGTGCATCTCAGAGCCTGTGGTAAAACTCTCCAGCTACACCACTGGAAGTGAGACGTATGGATAAATAATTAAGGAATTATTTCTGCTGAAACCACTATAAGGAGTAACTAATAAAATTATTGTCAACCACAACAATAATGTATTAATCATTTGATTAAAAAAATTATGACACTGATGCATCTGCAAGTTCCAGGAACAATATGACTCATATTGAAAGGTAGATGACGCTTGCTCTAAAACTATATTAAAATAACAGTTATGGCAACTAGTTCTGTTATCCATTGTGAATTACTCCCCTGCAAGGCCAGGCTGGGAATCCTGATTAATTTGTCCTAACAATCCACACATTAGATGTTTTAGATAGACCAACACATCATATTCACTCATCACCCATGTTAATAGTTCTGCCTTACAGCTCCAGGTTCAGTTCAGTGGCCTGTCTGTGTGGAGTTCACATGATCCTCCTTGTGTTTGCCTGATGTTTCTCCAGGTACTCTGGTTACCTAATTGTTCCTTCCAGGATGTGAAGAAGAAGGTTTATTATTCTGTGCTGTTAGGAGCTGTTCTGGTACCTCTCTTCAAAACTGAATATGGGTTACAGAGACTTGCTGTATGTCCGAAATGAACACTTAATAAAAACATACAAAAATGAAAAGGTCACTTCATTATTTATGAAAGGACAGATATGATTATGTGCACCCAAAACAAAAACATGAAAGGGAGGTTACAATTACTAAAAGAATGACTTAAGTCTCAAGACTGAAGACTGAACTGCTGTTACCATAACACTTCTTAAATCTAAACCTTTGCTTTCGCAGTGACTACCTCCAGACTTCTGTCTGTTTCAGCCATTCACACTGCTCTAATTTTTATTTCATACCAGGAACATTTTATTCTTTGGGTCCAAGCCAGTCCTGCCAACATTCTGAATCCATATTAAAGTACAAACACAGTGGAAAAACAATTAAACTGTGTACAAGATACAAGTAATAGGTTTATTCCATGCTGAAAAGAGAAGAGAGATAACACAACGTTTTGGCTGTGAAGCCTTCTTCAGGTGTCTGAAGAACCTGAATGTTGTTCCTTTGCAGACTATGCATGCTGGCGCAGCTACCCTCCTGTGTACAAGATATCCTTCTTAAATGAAAACAGACCTTCGCTTTTATAACTTTTAGCTTGACATCACTGCTGTATTTAGAGTTCGAAAGAATAGTTTCTAGAATTTATTTGCAAGAAAAGCAAATGTCTACTGAGCTCGGGAAACTCCTCGTAACGCAAAACAAAACACAACAACCATGGTCACAATGTAAATTACAAAAACGTTTTCTTACATAACCATCACTGTAATAAAGTGAGATGTATAGTCAAATCTGTAACACCTTATCATAGTTATGTTTTTAACATGCCTTCTAAGGTGAAAGTATTAAATATGCGAGATACTTTGTTCTATCAAAACCATTGGGATCACAGATTGTTTTTTAGGTTTTCGCTGACAGCTATGTCCCATGTACTGCAGGGAGAAGCAAGAGGACCTCCTGACGCAGATATGCGCCCACCCAGCAGAGCTCTTGTCATTCATCTTCTGACACACTGCCAGCTCCACAGAGGTTTACAAGAAAATTAACACCAATGAAGCGATGCAATTCTAACCGAATCTCTGCTTGTATTTCCACTTATTATTAACATATGCCCTTGCCCTTTAAGTTCTCTGTACTCTGATATTTGGGTAGAGAATTT